CTGAAACATGGTGTACAATTTGCACAGCGCGTTAACGAACAGCCGCTTAAGGGAGCGAGCGGTGCCAAGCTCAAATAAACTTAAAAAATAGATGCATTAACCAGAATCCACCAGGATTTATGGCTGGGTTGGGAGCATTCCTTTTAATTTCTATAATCGGGTTTTCTGTCTTTCAAAGCAAACTTTCTTTCAACTGCTTTAAGAGAGGGGGTCTTGGGGATGCCATGCTGAGGACACCGCGTCTCTGTGGCTGCGGATGGACCCAGGAGGACACTGAGTACAGACAGCAGTGACAGCGGCTGTGATCTGGGACACTGCTCCTTTATGGGAAGAAAAGGGAAAAACAGAGGGAGAAGACAGTGCTGATCACTCACAGCCACCGTTTGCCCAGGGTCATTTGTCCTTTACAGGAGAACTCGGTGCTGCTATAAATGAAAGCTGCACCTTTTGTGCTCGTTATACCTGAGCTTTGAGTTCTGGCTTTGATCGCTTCACCCAAAGTCGTTCAAACCAGACTGAATTATCTCAGCATCCAGTTGGGGACTGTGCACAGAGCTACTGGGGTGGAGGGGGGGGAGAGCCCAGTGCCCCCCACAGGGACCAGAGCTGGGGCACAGCCGCTCCTTGGAGCCCCAAAACACGGCAAACCCACAGCATTCAGCAGCAATACCCAAATGGGGATGAAGGCTTGCATGCAAGATAAAGGTGCATCTTGAGAAGAAATAACAATAACGATAATAACAACAAAAACTGTCCTCAACAAGAAGAAACACTCAGCACTTTTTGCGTGTTTCCATTCCCCTCTAACCGAGCCTGATAAATTTTCCATTTGCCGACATTTGCGGAGCCTGGAGACAAGCACTGCGAGCAAATAAACAAATAAGCAAGAAACACATTGCTTTCATCTCCAGAAATGAGCACTTGTGAGGCACAACTCTGTGCACGGTGCTTTCTGGCTGCAGCAGAAGGAGAACACCACGGCGGGGTTCTGCGTGCTCACATGGGAGCCAAGGAGCATTAACCTCATCCCGCACTGCCCTGTGCTCAGCTCTGGGCTCCAAAAGGAGGGAAGAAATCCCCACTTTCCCCTTCCTTTTCTCAGATTGTCACACTTGGAGTGTTTTCCAGAGGAAAAAGCGTTTCTCTGATCCAAAAGCCTTCAGCGTTTTCCCCAGTGCTGTTTCATGGCCTCAATGAAGGTGCAGTGATTTCACAGCCACAGTCGACAGAGGTGGGCAAACAACCACTGCCACCCAATTCCCTCCGTAGAAATAATCACAAACGCTTCCCTGAAGCCCTGAGATTCTCCACTCCTGTCTTTCGAAATTCTTTTGCTTTATCCAATCCACCAGGGCAGCCAGATGGGATTTTCGGGCACGAATTATAAAGGCTGTAAAGCAAATATCTTCAGGCACTCAGTGCAAAATTTTACACACCAAGAAGAGGGGAACCCAGCCTGAGCTACAGCTCACCCAAACCTGGTCTGGTGTTCAATCACAGCACGGCGTTGCCTGCAGCTCAGCCCGGAGCAGCTGTGCATTACTGGGACAGATTTCTAAGCACTGAAAACAAGAACGCAAACGCACCACGTCAAGCAATTCCGAGCTACACCTGCAAAATGAATTGATAATTTCACCACCAATTTGCTAAAGCCCTTCGTTCGGTACAATGACCTCCTGATGAGGACACCCCAACCCCTGCCCGAGAAATGCTCGGGAAATTGAAAGCTCGGTGAGTGCTGTGCCAAAGGGCACTGAGTGCCACCAGGCAGGGCTGTGCCACCCACCCGTGGCCTGGGGCTGTGTTGTTCTCCCCCCGCTGCAGTTTTTGTAATGGAGAGGAAATATTCCTCGCTTTGCTCAGTAACGGAGCAAAAACACCCCTTGAGGAGCTGTTCTGTGCAGGGTGGGTTGCTGCAGAACCCCCATTTTTAATAAAGAGTCTTTGCTGAGGAGGGAGAGGCTTTTATAGGGGAGAGCGATAATTACACTGCAATTGAGTGCAGCTGAAAGCCGCCCCCAAACACAGCAGCAGCCCCCCAGGCCGCTTCCATGGCACAACCTTATCTGGCACTGCGTTTTGTGCCATCAAGCAGTGGTTGATGCAGTTCTGATATCAACACACATTGGTGCATCCCGGCTACCTGTTCTTAGGGACTGCCACTACAACCCACAGCTTGCAGAGGGGCCGGGTGACATCAACACCAGCCCTACGAGGTCAAAAGAGCCTGGTGACACCACCACCCGCCCCACAGCATTGGTGCCCATCACACCAGCAGGCTTTGGGCAGCAGCAACCTTGGCACAGCGAGGTGGACGAACCCCCCCCCCCCCCCAAAAAAAAAAAAACACCTGCAAAACAAAGCTCATTTTGGAGCAAGAGCAAAACCCAACCTCTCTGTTGCACATCGTTTCTATGGGGCGTTTGTATGGCTGGAGAGAAACACTCTCTGCACACCCACACGGCTGCTGCTGTTCCCTTTGCTGCTAAAGCTGCTGCCTCTCTCCCTGCCCAGAGCTTTGAAGGGACTGTTGCCTAAAATACAATGATTTGGTTGAGCACAAGGGAATAAAACCATGGAATGAGGTCCATAATCCGTGGGCTCCTTGCTAAAAATCCTTCCTGACATCCGAGCTCACTGCTTATGATAAAACAATGTAAATTCTACAAAAAGAAAAGGGAACTTCCATCCTGACCTACAAAGGACGCTCATAAGCTCACAACGCGCCCATGATTAACCAGAGTGCCCCTATTGCCCGAAAAGCAGGAATTAAAAACAGTAATTCCAAAATGATAAAATTACATACGATAACAGAACTGGGAAGCTCCTTTACGTTTCACTTTTGCTTATGGCTCAAACTTGTCCAACTGCTTTCTTTTGTTAAAGCAGATCCTTTGGTAACGAAAAGGCGGCGGCGCTTCCAGCAGACGGACTTTCAGAACGAGAAACGCTCTCATTCTTATGCTTTGCACCCCATCAAAGCTGCTCTGGAGTTTATCAGCAGCAGAGCTGCTAATTAATCTGTTGTCACAGCGCTTTCCCCCTTCAGGTACGCTGCTGGTTGGGGTTTTGCTGCCCAGCTCCAGCTCACAGCAGTGCCCTTCCCGAGCAATCCGGGATGCTCCCACCACAGACACACAGCAAAGGAGACCTGCAGGGCTCAGCTCTGCTCACACACTGACCGAGAGCTGAAATCACCAAAGGAAAAGGTTTCTAAATCCCCCCCTTGAACATTTGCTGTGAGTTTGATTTTGTAAAATAACGACACAAAACTCAGCACATCTTCTCTGGGACACAAAGTAACGACACGGAGCCCTATGAGGCGGTCTTCTGTGCTGCAGAGCAGGGTAGGAAACGCCAAAAGCTCCCAAAGGAAATCAACCCCAGCACCCGCGCTCCGTCCTTGCTCCTGCAGACAAAGGTCTGGAAATAGGACAGCACTCACAGGACAGCACTTACATGACAGCACTTACCTTCCAGCTCCCCCACAGATAACTACTCCCCCACAGTTTGCAAGCAAAGTCTCGGGGCAAGATAGCAAAAGACAAGCAGGGTGCACCGGGGAGATTGCTTGCAGATGCGTTTATTCAGAGCTCCTTCCCTCGCTGCCTTTTGCTTTTCTTTCTAAGCTTTTTTTAAAAAACTTTTTTTTTTTTTTTAATACTTTTTTTCACGTGCCATTTCCAGCGCTTCGAAAATCCCCTTACGAACAGGGAAGAGGGACGCGCACCGGCTGAGCCGGATCCTGCCCTGAAGGACAAAGGCTGCCAATAGCAGCGGCGTTAACGAAGCCCCCAGCCCTAAGATTCGGCCTGATACCAACAACTGCGCGGGGTGCACCGAGAGCCACCGCTGCCCCGAGCGGGTCGGACGGGAGGAGGGCAGCTCCCGCAGCTCCCAGCGCCCGTCTGCGCTGCAGCGCATCACCACCCCCTCCCTGACACCCAGCGAGGCGAGTCCTGTGCTGAGCTCCATCCAGGTAACAGCTTCTCTCCCTCTCCAGCATCCCCTAATAAGTTTACTCGCGTGTCGTATGATTCACCGTAAGGGAACACCGGTGTATTTCAACACATAACCCTGCAACAGAGACACAACCCGAAGAGCTCCGGCGCTTATTTGGTCACTTTCTGCTGTTTAGTTCCGATGATCAGAGTTGGACAACTTAGCAAAACTTGGCGGGTTCGATGAGCCCCTTCGGCTCCCGTATGCCCGCAGCAGCGCGGAGCCGCTCCGTGGGGAAAGGGTGGAGAAAGGAGAACGCTATGGGGAAATAAGTAAATAAAAGAAAATAAAAATTGACTTTAAACGCTGAATTAGAGCATAAGGGAAAAAAAAAAAATTAAATTTAAAAAAAAAGTAGAGTTTGGTCCGTAAAAGAAATAAATGGACTGGGAGACTTTTAATAACGAAAAAGAAGAGAATTTCGGGCGCTCCCCGCACCCGCCGCTGCCCCACGCACGGCCGCAGCGGAGGCGGCGCCGCGCGGGGCTCGCGCCCCCCCCCCCCCCCCCCCCGCGGAGCGCGCAGAGCTCCCCGCCCCCGCGCGGCCCCGCGCGCCGTTCCTGGGCTTTTGGCGCCCCCTCCGGACGGCGGCGCGCACCGCCCGCGGCTCCGCTCCCCACGCTGCGAGCAAGGCTCGGACCGCTCCGCGCCGATCCGCGGGAACCCCTCCGGCACGCAGCGCACGGAGCTCGGCGCCCGGGAAGCCCGAACCCGTCGCGGGGCGGAGCGAAACGAAGCCGAACGGCTCCCGCCGCCCCGCGCCCCACCCCGGCGCTCCCGCAAAACTTCGCGCGGCCGCCCCCCTGCGCGGCTGTGCGCGGAGCTGCGCGCCCGCCGGCCCCGCCCCTCGGCGGCCCCTCGACCAATCGCGTGCGCGCCAGCCCCCGGGGGCCGGCCGCCCATTGGCGGAGCGCTGCCGAGCCGAAATCGCCACGGAGAGTATTTATTCCCGCGGCGCGGAGCGGGCCGCAGAGCCGCGCTGCAGAGCCGCGGGGCGCGCCCGGCCCCACACCGCCACCCACGGCCCCGCGCTTTTCTCTCCCTCGGCTTGCAAAAAGTTCGCCGCTCTACTGATTTTTTTGGCTTGGAGGAGTTGGGAAAGAGAAAGAGAACGTTAAAAACTTTTGCAAACTTTTCCAGCTTCTTCCCTCCTCTCGCAGCCGGGCTGCGCTCTGGTGGAGACTCCGTCTCTCCCCGTTTTACTTTCTGTTTTTAACCCTTCCCCGCCCCTCAACCTCCCGGTTATTCTTTTCTTTCCATTTTTTTCCTCCCCTGATCCCCCTTCTGCCGCTTTCTCGCATGAATCTCCTAGACCCCTTCATGAAAATGACAGAAGAACAGGACAAATGCATCTCCGACGCCCCCAGCCCCACCATGTCGGATGACTCCGCCGGGTCTCCCTGCCCCTCCGGATCCGGCTCGGACACGGAGAACACCCGACCCCAAGAGAACACCTTTCCCAAAGGCGACCCGGACCTGAAGAAGGAGAGCGACGAGGACAAATTCCCCGTATGCATCCGCGAGGCTGTGAGCCAGGTGCTCAAGGGCTACGATTGGACCCTGGTGCCCATGCCCGTGCGAGTGAACGGATCCAGCAAGAACAAACCCCACGTGAAGCGTCCCATGAACGCATTCATGGTATGGGCCCAGGCGGCTCGAAGGAAGCTGGCTGACCAGTACCCTCATCTGCACAACGCCGAGCTCAGCAAGACGCTGGGCAAACTGTGGAGGTGAGCAGGGGCTGGGAGCGATGCCCTGGGGTGGGATTGGGGGATGCTGGAATGGGGATGCAGCCTGCAGAGTTTGCTCCGGTTTTGATGGCGCGAGGAGGAGAGAGAAAAAGGAGGGAGAGGATGGTGGGAAGCCTGGAAAAGTTGCTGCAAAGTTTTGCGTGCGCTGGCAAAGTTGTTTGGCAAAATATGAGGGGAAAGCAGGGAAAGGAGAGGGGGAAAAGCAGGGCAAAGAGAGCCCTGGGGCTGCCCTCTGCTCTTGCAAAGGTTTTATTCTGACTTAGACATGCCCTGCGTGTGCTGCAGCCAGGGAAGCATTTGGTGATGTGCAGGGGAAGCGATGGGCCTAGATTGCATCAGCTCTGTGCAGAGTGAGGGGAGGGGGTGAAAGCTGCCAACCCCCAGGAGGGTGCCCAGGGGTGGCTGGGTGCCCTCTGCCTTCCAAAATAAGGCAGGGAGGGGTGAAAACCAGAAAGCAAGTGAGTCACCTGCCTGCCAATGAGTGTGACTGCAGAAAGGAGGAGCGGAGGGGAATCCTAAATTCACAGCAGGAGGAGAAAGTGGTGAGCAACTCTGGTCCTGGCAGCAGACACCAGAGCCGTCACCCAAAGTGCCCAGGGATGGGGAGGGGGGGGGGGGCCGGGGAGCACTGGGACCCTCACACCTCTCGTTTGTTCACTGAAATGGGGGGTGACCACCACTGTGTGCCCCGACGTGCGGGTCCACCGTTGGAGGGGGGGGGTTTGCATCACTGTTTGTGGGGACTGGGAGAGGTTTGGGGCTGATATTGATACTAGAGTGGAGGGAAACACTCGTGCTCCTTGCCATGAGCTGCAGCTGACCCCAACCCCCTCCTTCCCCATCCTCCTCAGGCTGTTGAATGAGAGCGAGAAGCGTCCCTTTGTGGAGGAGGCCGAGCGGCTGCGGGTACAGCACAAGAAGGACCACCCTGACTACAAGTACCAACCACGCAGGAGGAAGTCAGTGAAGAACGGGCAGTCGGAGCAGGAGGAGGGCTCTGAGCAGACCCACATCTCCCCCAATGCCATCTTCAAGGCGCTGCAGGCGGACTCCCCACAGTCATCCTCCAGCATCAGCGAGGTGCACTCCCCCGGGGAGCACTCGGGTAGGTGTCACATTCCACACCCAACTCTGGGGTCAGCAAAGCAGGCTGAGATCGGGGGCGGGTATGGGGGAAATAAGGAAAGTCAGGGGAAATACGGAGCCACGAGCACAGTGAGAAGGGGTCCATCAGGCTTGCCCATAGCAGTGCCACAAGTGCTGACCCATGCATGCCAACCCCTGAGGCCACTTCCACCCTGCTTTGCCCATGAGAAATGCAAAGCTGTGATTCTTTTTTCTTTACTTGGTGCAACAGATGGGCATCCATAGCATCAGCATTCTCGTTCCTTGCACCTGAAGATATTTGAGTTCCCCTGTGCATCTGCCCACCCCCCCAAGCCTTAGGGACGAGGTTAACCATTAACACCATTATCACATTGGGCGCGAGGTGCCCGGTGCGATCCCCCTGTCACACTCACACTCTCTCCTTCCCTTGCAGGGCAGTCACAGGGCCCCCCTACACCCCCCACCACCCCCAAGACGGACGCTCAGCAGCCGGGCAAGCAGGACCTGAAACGCGAGGGCCGCCCTTTGGCGGAAGGCGGCCGCCAACCTCCCCACATCGACTTTCGAGACGTGGACATCGGCGAGCTCAGCAGCGACGTCATCTCTAACATCGAAACCTTCGACGTCAATGAGTTCGACCAATACCTGCCCCCCAACGGCCACCCGGGGGTCCCGGCCACCCACGGCCAAGTCACCACCTACAGCGGTACCTACGGCATCAGCAGCTCGGCCGGCTCTCCAGCAGGCGCAGGGCACGCCTGGATGGCCAAGCAGCAGCCTCAACCCCCGCAGCCCCCTGCGCAGCCCCCGGCACAGCACGCACTGCCAGCACTGAGCGGTGAGCAGGGCCCGGCACAGCAGCGGCCGCACATCAAAACAGAGCAGCTGAGCCCCAGCCACTACAGCGAGCAGCAGCAGCACTCCCCGCAGCAACAGCAGCAGCAGCAACAGCAGCAGCTGGGCTACGGCTCCTTCAACCTGCAGCACTACGGCTCCTCGTACCCCCCCATCACCCGCTCGCAGTACGATTACACCGAGCACCAGAACTCCGGCTCCTACTACAGCCACGCCGCCGGGCAGAGCGGAGGGCTCTACTCCACCTTCACCTACATGAATCCCACGCAGCGCCCCATGTACACCCCCATCGCAGACACGTCGGGGGTGCCCTCCATCCCGCAGACCCACAGCCCGCAGCACTGGGAACAGCCCGTCTACACGCAGCTCACCCGGCCTTAAAGCCACGTGAAGGCAAATAAATAAATAAACAAACCAATCAGAAAGGAAAGGAGAAAAAAAAAAAAAAAAAAAAAAAAAAAAAAAAAAAAAAAAGAAGAGAGGAAAAAGAATGAAAGGAGGCAGTGAAAGCAGAGGACTTCCAGCAGACTTTCCTTTCTTGCAAATAGAAATGATGATTTAAGAGAGAAAAAAAAATAAAGTAAAACATGCTCGAGTTCAAGCTGGGAAATGCCCACAGCGCCCGGAGCTCAGTGCCAGCCCCAAAGGACCCAACGCGTGGGCATGGGCTGGAGGTGTCCTCTGTTTGCTGGACGTTGGTTACGAGTTGGGTTTCTTGAGGGGTTTTTTTGTTGGTTTTTTTGTTGGTTTTTTTTTTTAGCAGTAATTAAAAAAAGGAGGGGGAAAAAAAAAAAAAAAAAAAACGGGTTGGGGAGGTGGGGGGGAAAAAAAAAGAGAAAGCTGAGTCCTCTGTGAGGAAATATTCTCTATTTTAAATATTTTTTAGTATGTACTGTGTATGATTCGTTACCAGTTTGAGGGGATTTATACCTATTTTGTAGAGATTTTTTTTTTTTTTTTTTTTTTTTTTTGGTAAAATGCTCTTTATTTTTCCAACAGCTGAAGAAGTGAACGCTTAGCGGGGGCAGTGCTCGGGTTTTTTTTTTGTTGTTGTGTGGTCAGAGGTATTTTTGTACAGCTGGGGGTCTTTTTTTCTCTAAGAAATTACAAAAAAAAAAAAAAAAGGAAAAAAATAAAAGAGGAAAGCAAAGCAGGGCCGCGTGCTTCTTGCTGCCATCAGTGCTGCATAGGGTCAGCTCAGCAGGGATGGGCGTGGGGAAGAAGAGGTTTTCTATTTTTCTAACTGGAGAGGAGAGCAAAAGTGGAGAAAAAAAAAAAAAAAAAAAAAAAAAAAAAAGAAAAAACTGAAAAAAAGCAGCCAGGAGGAGATTTTTTGTATCGTTATTTTTTCACAACCTTGAGCCTTAAAAAAGAAACCAGCAAAAAAAAAAGACGCTCTGGATAAAGCCTTAAAGCAGCCCTGTGCTGATCAGGTGGCCCAGCTCTGCGCGCACAGCCTGAGGCTCACACTGAGAGCCCCCAGCCCCAGGGGGGGGTCAACAGAGACTGTGTTGGTTCCCCGAGAAGAGCAATTTTTAATCACCATTTAATAAGAAAAGAAAAAGAAAAAAGAAAAAAAATCTCCCTTTCTATATTTTAAGTCCCTTCGAAGAGCGATGACATGATGGGAGCGTTGTTGGGAAGGTAACGGTGCCTGTTAAATTATGGTCAGAACTGTAACCAGTCCTTTTATTTATCTCTTTTGATTCCTTTATTATTATTATTATTATTCTTTTTTTTTGTTTGTTTGTTCGTTGGGTTGGTTGGTTTCGTTTTTTTCTGTGTCCTGGGTTTGTACAAACTCGCGCTCTTCCCCCTTTTTTTTTTTTTTTTTGGTCGTTTTTTTTTTTTTTAAGGAGAAAAAGGAAAATTAAAAAAAAATAATAAAAAAAATAATAATAATGAAAAAATAAAAATAAAGAACTTCCAAACCTATATAAAATGTCGGACAAACTGAAGATTGCAAATGTAGCGCATCACTGAATCATTTGCCTTTGTTTCCTGCCTCAGCTCTATGGGACACAACCAGACCCCATCTCTGCCTTCCAGACCCCAGCGCAGCTCTAAGGGGGGTTTCATGGACTTTGATGAAGCTGTGGCTGAACAGTTAAGGATTGCTTTTTAAAAAAGACAGCCAACTTTGGGGTTTTTTTTTTTTAATTTAAAAAAGAAAAAAAAAGATATATTTGTTAACTTTTTGTTGTCTTTTTTTTTTTTAATAAGGATTCAGTAGGAGAAATCTGAAAGCACTCTTATAATATGGCATCTCTCTATTTCTGTATAAAAGCAGATCTTTTTTTTTTTTTAAAGTATTTCTGTAACTTAAAAGACCTGTCACTTAAATCATATTTTTGTCTTTAGGTAAGTTTGGTTTTGGTTGCAAGATCCTCCTCTTTGTGAAACTTACCTTTTTTTTTTTTTGTATATTATTGTTTGCAATAAATATACATTGTATTAAAAGTTAAAAACAAAACAAAACCCCACGGGTGTCTGATTTATTAACAGCCTCCCAGGGAGGGTGAGTGGGTTCATAGAACTCAGTGGGATGTTGGGCTGCGCTGTGAGCAGCACGGGTTGCATTCTGCCCCAGCCCTGCTGCATGCGAGCAACACTGTTTGCACAGTGCATCCCCACTCTGCATCCCCCCCAGCTCCAAGGCAGGAGGGGAACAGCTCCCCTTCGCCAATGCTTGGATCTGGACCATTGACCCCCAAAAAGCTGGAATTCTTCCCCAAATGGGATACATCACCTCTGCAAGCACGCACAGTCTCAAACCCCACATCTCCACCCTGCAGCGTTTAGGATGCAATTTTGGGAACAGCACAGAGAGGACTGCATTGACACCCCCTGAACGGCGCAGTGCAATGTGGTGGCACCCACTGCTGTCCCTCCCCCTGCTCCAAAGGGGCTCTGCACAGCCCTGCACAGCAAAGCCTCTGCGTGTCCTATGATCCCGACTCCTGCTACGAGCAGCGCGTGAGCTAATTAACCAAAAGGGATTGATTGATTTGGCGTGTTCGTTGGGGTCAGTGTCACTCAAGCCCCGAGCTGGGGGGGCTCACAATGGGTTCCCCTTCACCCGCTGGAGCCTGAAAGTTGGGTCACTGACACAACCATTGCCTTCCTGATGCCTGTGTAGATGTGTTGGGATGCAGCCCAGCAAGAAGCCGAGAAACATCCCTAAAGGTGCACAGCTCCAGAGGGGGGGGAGAGGGGTTGGACCTCACCTTCTAGCCAGAACACCTCGGGGAAATCCTCCTTGCACCAAACCAAAGAGCAAAGCTCATGACCCAACCCCGGACCTATAACTTTGGCTCTGTTTACTTATGGTGTGGGCTGCAATGTGCTCAGAGCAGAGCCAGAGCCGGGTCCCTGTGCAGCACTGAGCTCCTGACAACCCCCCTCACCACCCCCCATATCCCCCCTAGTCGGGAGTTGGGGACACCCACAGCAAGAAAAAAAAACCTGCAAAAGCCGCACTGCTTCAGGGCACTTTGTGCTAGAAAGCAGAGCAGGAGGAGGGGCTGGGGGGGGAGAAAAAAAAAAACGAATTCAAGGGAACTCTTACAATGCTGCAGGGCAGGTTTGAGCCGCAGCAGATAACAGAGCCGGGTGCAGGACAGATGTGCAATGCTGCGCGGCGGGTTCAGAGGCAGCAGGGCAGGGAGCGGCGCAGCTGCAGGGCAGGGCAGGGTGGGGGCGCCCCCAAAGGCCCCCCGGCTCCTGCACAGCACTGCGGCTGCAGCGGGCAGCACGGGGCTGAGATGTGCACTGGTGGTTCAGCTGCGTGCTTGCAAAAAAACGAGGCAACGTTTAAGAATTTTTAAGAAATTCTCTACACTTTTATGAATGTATAAGGATTTTTCTTAGGAATTTTTGGAGGGCAGCACCCTACAGCACCCATCACACCGGGCTCTGCGCCCACCCAGCCCTACGCAGCTCCCTGAGCCCAGCAGCCCGCCTGCCTGCAGCAGTATCAGCTGCTGAGAAGCGGAGCTGCAATTTGCATTTCCTCAGCCAGCTGTTCATGTTGACATCGAATTAAAGCCGGGGCTTTCTCCCAGAGAGGAGGAGAGATCACAGCCAGCTGTGAGCCGGGATCCCGCCGGCAGCCACGGCTCCTGCCCAGCTGCAGCACTTGGGATGCAGTGATATATCACAGCGGTGCTGGGCAAGTGAGGTTTGCTGGGGTTTCTCTTTTCCTTTTTCGGGGCCCTGTTCCAGGGAGCAGGCAGTTAAATGAGGTGGAGATTTATATGTCAAAGGCAAAGCAGCTAGCTGGGCTCCTCCTGCATCCCAGCCTTAGGGATGGAGTTGTGCCCACCCTGGAGAGCACAAATGAAGCCCATGGTCCCTCCCAGCAGCAGCCGAAGTTGGCTGGGATGCTTGGAGTCACTGCTGCAATGATAAACCCGTCTGGAATAGGTAAAGCACAAAGCATAAACGGGTCCAAGGAATCAGGGAAAATGTAAGAAGTACCCTTTAAACATCTCAGCAGAACCCCAGATTTACAGTGACATGAGCATGATGCAGGTGAGGATGGTGACACAGGTAGAACTGGAGCAGCTCGCTGCTCAGAGAGCAGGTACTAGGATTGCAGCTTGCACCATACAGTGCTGCAGGACATAGAGCCACTGCTGTGCTCCCTGTCCCACTGTTCAGCCTCACCAGGTGCTGTACCTGTCTGCAAGGGTTTCTCCTGCACCCATGTGCACCAGGCTTGCAACACCAGCATGACACCAGAGCATCGGGGTGGGCAGCATCCATTGCACGCAGAGCCATGCTATGAGCACAAGGTTCCCACACCCTCTCCTGCTTCTCCCCAGCAATTTTCCTCAGCAATAAGCATCACTCACAGTTCCACCAGCAAAGCCTGCAGCCCCCCAAATTCCCAGCACAGCCCACAGACAGCGCAGCGTGGGCACAGACATGCCGTAAGTGCTACTGTAATAGAAATAATTGATCCTAAGGTGCCTCGGGGGCTATAAAGACCTCAATTGTTAGCTGCTTGGGTCAGAGCCCGCGTCTTTATGACGTGTTTGTACAAGGACTACTCTAATGGGGCGCTGAGCCGCAATTGGGGTCCTGAAGTGCTATTGTAATACAAGCACTAATCATGCACGGCCGTTATACAAGCTGCCCCTGCTCAGGCTGTGCTCCGAAGGCTCATAAACCAGGCAGGGTTGTATTGAAGTCAACTGGAGCTTGGCTGGATCCATAGCTGTCAAACTCCTGTTTTAATTCTGCATGTGTGTGTGCATGGATGCACGCGGCTGTGCACACATACACACACACACACACAGAGGCTGACAGCATCAGCAAGGAGCAGCAGAGCTTGGAGACATGCTGTTTGTAAAGCCCAGGGTGGGAGGGGAGCGATTTCTCCATTAAAACAGAGTCATGTTTATAAGACGCTCAATAAAAAAGTCATTTGAAATAAGAAAT